AATCACAGGGGACCTAGCCCTGCCCCTGCTTCTGGCCACGGCTCCTCCCCTGCAGCAGCTGCTCCCCCCCCCATACACACAGAGGGGGCCCAGCGCTGTGTGGAGATGCCGTGCCAAGTCAGTTTTGTCGGCTGACCCAAAGGACACCCCATGTTCGTGCAAGGAAATACCTGGTCCTTCACAGTAGGGCTACAGTGCTTACTCCTTTTGTGTAATATGGGAACTTACTATGTGAAGTAGAGAAAACCTGGTATCGTGATTGAAATGAACCTCACTGGCCTTTTTGGAAGCTACTGGGAAGAGCTCAGCTGATCACTGGGTTGTTGGTTGTGCTGGTCATCTGTAGGGCCCTCAAAGCAGGCCTCTTGCCAACACCAGTGGGTCAGGACAGCTGTGGCCATGTCTCACCAAGTCTCTAAAGCCCTTAACAGAGGTGTCTCCAGCACCCTCAGGCAGCCAGTGTCAGTGCTGCACCACCTCCCTGTGAGGAAGCTTTGCTAGACATCCAGCTGGGACCTCTCATGCTTCACTTTGCAGCCATTGCTGTCTCACCTGCCACTGTGGAGAAGAGTTTGGCTTTGTCATCTTCAAGTAGATGTAGGCTGATCCTAGATGCCTCCTGGGCTGCCTCTTGGTGGGAGTCAACAAAGCCAACTCACTCAGCCTCAGTACTGGGATCCCCGTCAGCATCTCATTTGAATTGGGCAGTCAGAGGGGAAGACAGGGCATGAAACTTAACATGGTTTTACAGGTGTGGCCTCACTGGTGCCAAGTAGATGGGATACAGTAACTTTCACTTCTTTTCTGGCTGTAATTCTCCTAACATAGTCCAGCCAATGTTTATTTCTGGTGAGAGCTCACTTCTAGTTCATATTCAGCCTGGTGCCCACCATAGCCCCCCAGGTCCTTTCCAGCAGGGCTCTTGTACAGCCCATCACTTCCCAGCCTGTACTGGTGCATGGGTTTATTCTACTCCTGTGTGGAGCTCTGCACTTCTCCTTGCTGAACCTCAGGTCTCTGTTTAGGTTGCTATCTTTCTGTGTATCAGACATGTCTTTGTGATTTAGCATCATCAACAAATTTTCTGCCAGCCTATGACAGCTATTTTGGACCATATGGGGTTGAGCAGGGAGGTGTCAGTAGATAGTGATGTCTCCTGAATTTGTCTTGGGCTCTGCCTGGGTCAGTTCTGCTTTGCACTGAAGACCATGTTGGTACATGGTCCTTGAAATTTTGCATAGGATACCATTCAGCTTGCAACTTTAATACAATTTAATATGCTTAAATAGTGAACATGAATATTTATATTGAGTATTAATTTAGTGATGTTATAAACTGGCAATAATAGTACAAGTGCCAGGTGGAGTGGTGCTTGAATTATTTTTTTACCTGAAAAAAACAAATTCATTGTATTAGAGGATTTATAAAAGTTTTGCAGCAGTAACATTTTCTGTAATTAAAGCAGGTATTGGAGCTTAACAAACATGTTTTTCTTTCTGTCCAGGCAAATTGAGAAGACTCTCCATATTGAAGGTTGATCAAAACAAACTTATTCAACTAACAGATTCAATTGGAGACTGCGAAAGCCTTACTGAACTAGTTCTAACAGAAAACCAACTGCAGGTAATTATGATCATGGCTGATCAAATGGCTGGGTAATAAGACCTGCTGCTAAGTGCTGAATCACTTAGCTTGTAAGGTTACTCACTACTACTGCAAGTTGCCCTTGGATGCATCTTATTTCTTACCTGTTAAATGAATGCTCAAGATCAAGTTGTGTACAGTGACAATCCGCCCATACAAAGGCTTAAGCGATTACATATTCACTCTTGAATCTTTCATGAGCAGTAAGGGAACTGGAGCATGTGGAGTGCAGGTATCACTTACTTGGTTGTGCTTTTAAGGCGGAGTTTCTGCCGTGTTGTGTTATTTTTGCTGTGTACTATGTGGATCAGACTTGCTGGAACTGAACAGAAGCCCCAGGTGCTGCAGAGCTGCTCTTGTACTGTCCCTTTACTCTGCTGATCTACTCCAGACAGATATTAAGTAGTATATGTGGTTAATTATAATAAAAAAATCAGACTTCCTTCCACTAGGTGTTTCCTTCCGTTATTTTTAAACTGCTGTCTCGTGGCACTGACCCTTGAAGAGTAGAAGTGTTTATAAAATTCTAGGTTTGAGGATTTCTTAAGTTAGGTTGGTGCTTGATTGAGTTAGGAGCTTAAGCCTGTCGGAATGATGCCTCTCCAGAAGTCAGTTCATAGCACCTTGCTTGTCAGTTAGGGCGCCTGAAGTTTGATAATATGGGCATTCTGCATACAAGCTTCTGCACACACCTGTTGTATGTCTGTCACCTTAGTGCAGAGGTAACTCATAAATTAATTTTTATTAGAAACTGACATTCCTGGACATCTCTTCTGTAAGACAAAACCTTGGATCTCCTTTTGAAAGCCTGGTAGTAACAAGGGTTAACTACACTCCAGTTCTGAAAATTAACCAGTCTGTTAATTCTATTAAATGAGATAATTTCTGTTAAATTTATTAAATCTGTAAATAAGTCTATTAGCTCTATGAAAATTTATTAATTTTAAAGTGAGATAGGTTTTATTCTGACTCTGTGAATTTACAAATTCTGTCTGTATGTTTCTTTGGTTTTGTTGGCACAGTCATTGCCGAAGAGCATCGGGAAGCTAAAGAAGCTGAACAATTTGAATGCCGATAGAAACAAATTAACATCTTTGCCCAAAGAGGTAAGTTTTGTGCAATGAACTGTCACAGATGTGATTATACAAGCATAAAACTCTTGATTTCGTATGCCTACAAGAAGTAGCAGGCAGCTTTGATCTGCTGGATATTCTTTCCAAACCAATCACAGCCAGAAACTTAGACCTGAACAGCATGAATCTGAGTGGTGATTTGGTGGCTTGGAAGTGCAAAATGCCTTTGCATTTGAACAAGAATGCTCAGATCTAATTATCTAGTAACTAATAATTCCAAATGTGGGTGTCAGGTCCAGAGTATATGAAGACTGGAAGTTCTGTTAGAGTGGATGTAAACATCAATATGCTCTTCTGCATTCAGAATAAAAATACTGTGGATTCCTCCTCTCCTCACTCTTGTGAACAATTGAAAGGAAGGATTTCATATTCTAAAAAATGATTCAGAGTGTGTTTTGACAGTCTTTTTGGTTTTGGAGATGTTTGGACTGCTGTTGCCTCTAAATATGAGGACCCGACCTGCCCAAAGTCACTGATACCTTACAGCTGGGATCACTAGGACTTGCTATCTGTCGTAACAGTATATGGAATGAAATGATGCTAGAATTTCTGTTGTGAAAATAACAAAGGCCTTACAAGCTTAGTGTACAGCAATAAATTCTGGAAAGAGATTAAGGGAAGCAGTGTGATTGGAGCGTGGTGCTGTGAGTTGCTTCTGTTTGCACTACTGTTGCTCTGTAATTTTTGTCCCAGTAGTTCTCCCCCTTTATTTTCCTATCTAACATATGACTCTGTTGTAGCTTTTGTTCACCACTTTCAGTCACTTCAGGAGCAGGTGGCAGCTGATGGATGGGCAATCAAGAGGAGTATCAGCTCTGGCTAGTGAGCACAGACTTTTTCTCAGGCCTTCCTTCTTATGGAGCATGGACAGCTTGAGGATTAAGGCAAAGTGGCTGGGAACCAGTAGATGGGGGAGAGATGATGGTCTGAAGAGGAGGGATTGAGGAGGGGCAGAGTCTGCTGCTCTGGCATGGGCAGCAACAGTTTCAGTGGCCCAGGTCTGAACTGCCACAAGTTGGTCACATAATCAGGGCTCCATGACACCCCTTATTGCTCCTTTGCAGGCTGATTTGTAAGTGTATGTTTGTCAGGGAGCAGGAAGAAGGTGAGGGAGTGTAGGTGAGTACTGCAGCTCCTCTAGCAGGATGGAGTCTCCTCTGCAGAGGTGCTGCTGTTTCTGAACATAAAATTGCAGAGGTTATACTCAGATGGCTTGCAAAAATGCTAGGAAGAGGCAGGACCTTGGGAAAACTGTTTCTGGGTTGGGATGCAATGGCAGTTTTGATCTTGTGCTCTCATTGTGTAGAAACTTTTCCTTGTTTCCTTGTATTAAACTGAATTTAATACATCACACAGGTGTACTACCTGCCTGTACTTGAGACTTGTACAATTTGGTGTTTAGTCCACTTTTTAGCAGAATTGCTCTGAGATTGTTAAAGCACGTAAGGTTTTACTGATAACACTTTTTTTCCCAGATTGACCATTAATAGCTTATGTAGCATATAAGCACTTTTCTTCATTAATGGGGTTCACAGAATTGGAGATGGTGCATGAGGGAGAGCAGGATGGCCTGGAATGAGCAGGGACAGGAGCACGTGAGAGGAGGTTCAGTTTAAGAAGCACATAAAGCAGGGTGAATATGGAGTGTGCCTGTTTGGGAGGAATCACATCCTCAAGGGCTCGGTGCAGAACAATAAAGGGGTTGATGCTGAAGAAGAAACTGGAGACTTGGAACCAGAAATGGGCTTCATAAGTTGAAGATGTTGCCCAGTTGGTGAAGGAATTCAGGATATTGAAGGCTGAAATGAAGGACAAGAATGTGTAAGAATAACATTAGCAGACTTAGGGGAGACCTGCACAAGGAGTCAGATAAAGTCAGGGATGAGTCTTTATTTGGATAATATGGGTGATGAGGAAATGAAAGGTGGTATCTGGAATGAGGTGAGCTGGGGAGTTGTAGAATGTCCAAGGTGGGAAAGAGCGTTTCCCAGGGACCTTGGCAGAGAAACAGAAAACAGAGTTCCTTGTCATCTACTTCTTTGAAACGTTTTTTTCTTTAAAGGTCTCCACACTTATATGTCTTTCTCATTAGAACAAACACTTGGAAATTATGTTTAGTTTACAGACTATTTCATCAAAGTATGTTTTGCTCTGTGGATTTTAATTTTTTTTTTTTTATTTTTAAAGGAAGTCAGTCCTTCTCCAACTGGAGGGTCATATCCACCCCCTAGATATGTGGATTTGAATTCCAAGCTGGCAATGGTAGCAAATAGAAAACATAAACAACTGATGCAATGTCTCAAAAATACTGGTAATATACTTGTATTGCAGAACCTACCATTTGGCTAACAAGACTTTTCAGTTTCATTTTTTCAAGTTTCCATTTCAATTCCTTGTTCTTAGGCCGTGCAATTAAAACACCTTCCCCTCAAAGTCTTCAGATTGCCATCTGACAATGCTGAAGTGCTAGATTGAAAAACAAAGAAATCTGCTGCTCTATGCTCATATTTTGTCTATTCCTGGAGCTGTATTTTTATTAACTAGTAAGCTTTTTGCTTTAAACCAAATGTGAGCATTTCTATACTACAAGTTTTCCAGTTAAAATTCAGAGAAATTCAGTGACGAGTCACATTTTGTACCTCTAAAAGAAAAAATGTTCTGTGTAAACAGAGTGCACAGGTATAACAAGTACTGTTTGCTGTTACGCAAAGGAGTTATCCACAGGAGCAGCTTCAGGGAATGCTGATAATGGCAGAGATCCTGATCCCAAAGTTTCACTTTGGATGGCACGGAGGAACAATTTGGTGTCTTGATGAAAGTTCAGTTTCAATTTTGCTTCTCATTGTTACTGACTTGGAAAAAACCCCAACAAACTGAAATGCATTGGTAGAGCAATTAAGGAAAACTGAAAAATGTGTCATCCTTTTTTTGTCTGTTGGAAGGTTCTGCTTGACAATGAGGAAGGTTACCATCTTTCCCACTTAATTTCATCTCAAACTGACTAATATTTAAAGCCAAGCATGAGCTTCTGACAGCAGTAGTGTTCCATACCCTAGCCTGCTGTGTATTACTTAGGATGTCTATTGAGATAATATGCAAAGATTGAGGTCTCAGACCTTTGCACATCAGTCAATATTAGTACTTGTACACTGGTTCCCCCTTCACAGAAGACGTCAGATGCAGGAGTATGCAGTGCAGATATTCTTGCTTGTTTGTGTCTTTTCCCTTCCCTCTTTTCTACTTCCTCACATTCTTTCTCTGCCTTACAGAGTGGTAGAACATCTGTGCATTTGTGGTCTTGATCCTTAGAAGAAATGGGTGTGGAACATGCCTTTTACTGGTTTCTGTTGGAGAGGGACAAAGACATAGAGTCTGATAACATGTATGTAGAAAAAATGGAGCTCTGCCAGGGAGAAGAGTACATGTAGCTCATACTGTATTTACCTGCTGGTGCCTCTGTCCTTCCATCCAGAATTATTCTTGTAGTGAAGAGAGTTTTTATAAGTAGGATGGCAGAAATAATGCGCCTGCTCGAGTATTACCTGGAGATAATCTAAGTAGCTTCTCTGTGGCAGTGGGGTTTTTTTTGTGTGTGCAGGGGGTTTTCTTTAATTTTTATTTTTATTGTTTTGTTAGCAGTTTACTAGGGTTGGATTTTGGGTCAATCTGCCAAACCATTGCATTGCCAGATTTTTTCAGTGCGCATTTGTAAAACCAGTCTCTGCTTTTTGGTGTAAGATTTCTTGAGCTGGGATTATTGAGGAGTTCATATGTAAATATTCCTTCAAAGTTTCCTGGTTCAAAGGTTTTTCTGTATCTGGTGCTGATGTATAAGGTAAAACATGGAACAGCTGAATGTATGATCAACACTTGAGTCACTGACAGATTTCATCTTGAGTATCTCATCTTCCAGCTTGATCCCTCTCTCACTGAGCTAAGTGGTGAAACAGACTTCAGCAAGAATCAAGAATGTCTAAACCTGTTCATAGTTACAATTGTTTTTCCCCTTAAACTTGAAAGACCTGCCTGGTGACTCTTTGGTGTTGAAATCCCACCCTGGCACTGGAACGCTGGTGAAACTGGTGTGTTGATTTTGGCACTTGCATAAATAACCTCCTTGGAATGTTTTCCAGTTCATGTGCTTTTGTTAATGAGTCTCTACAACCTGCAGAGATCTGGTAATGTGTCCTTCCTGGCTTTGAGGTATATTGTGAGAATTACTGCTATAGTAGGTAAAACTGCAGTGTTTTTTTTCAGTAACTGTGCTTTTTAAATTGTTCTTACTTTTTTAAAATAAGTAGGGGCCACTTTGTTGTTTCTAGTTTTAACTTCTGATGTCTTATCCCTTCCCTCATTTGTGTGTCTCAAAAGAAAAAAAAAAAAGACACTAAGGAAAAATGCAGGAAAACTTGAATTGAGTCAGAGGGCAGGGAAGCTCTCCAGCTGTGCTCCTCCCACACTGTTCAGCAGTGGTGCAGGGGATGTTGAAGTGAGCTTGCTGAAGGTTTTCCTAGCCAATTTGAAGTTAATAACTGACTAACAGCTAATAATAGTGAATTGGGCAGTTTCTTTCACTACAGGTACTGTGTGTTTGCAATTAAAGGATTAATGCATTTTGTCTGGTGCCAAGGAAAATTCTGATTTGATTTATATTGAGTCCAAACAAAATTTGGTTATGAGACCTTGGAAAAGATTTAACAGCGGAGTAGGATTTGTGTTTAAATTCCCAATATATTTATCAGAGTTGCCTAAGCCTAGTGAGAGTTCTTGATCGTGACAATATTGACAGTATTGGGAGTTGAATAAAAGGTGTGTCCTGGACTTTAACTAGTCACGTGCTAAAGAAAAATCATTGTAGTATTTGTCATAATGTTTTTTGGCATTTTTTGGCGTTACTTATACCTGCATGAAGGATGCTGAGTGGTGAAGTACAGCAAAATTGATTAAATAGCTTTTGAACAGTTAACAGATACTGAGATGAAACAATGTTATTCAGCTAATGCAATTTGAAGGTCTTCTGAGTTTTCAACTTTTGTGTTTCGGCTTTAGAGCACCAACAATGTGAGGATGCACCATCGTAATCAGTGAATTTTGGTCTGTAGTGATAAATGATTGTGACTGACAACTGGGCTCAAGAGAGGTGGCAAATGGGAGTTTCTGGGAGGGATCTAAATAGGAGGAGAAGGATGAATCTGTGCACTGTTCTTGGGTTTACCTCTAGAAGTGTCATCATCAAGAAAAACCAAATGGTGACCGCAAGCTTATTGTAAGAAAGCAGTGTAGTGAAAGTTAAATGATCAAAAATACACAACTGATGCAATTGTCAAAACAACAGTCTGTGTGCTTTTGAGAGTTGGAGTCATCAGAAACATCAGCAGAGAGGTGCAGTTTTGGAGGATTGTTTTTAAGATGGACTGGCAGTGGTTATGTGGATGACAAAAAATCGAGAGTCTGAACTGGTGAATGCTGGTCATTTTAAGAATGTGTGTGCGGGGGGAGTTTTAGCAGTGAAGCTGACATACTTTCTGTGTATGCCCAGGTATTACTGCTTCTCCAGAACAGGGAAAGCTCTTAGAAAGATGAGTCTCAGACAAACATAGAAGAGTTAAAAAAAAGCCTCCATAGGGGTAGAATTTTGTGTGGAACCCAAAGAGATCCTACTAATTCTCATCCTTGGAAGCAAGTCCACTTGAGTGCAAATGAGCAGCTTTGTTCAGGCTTTACAGTACTGTAAAATCAGTCATCTCAAAACCAGCATTTAATAGTAATGACCATTTTCTGCCTGAATGATGTGTGGGTGTGGGGTTTTTTTTTTTATTGGGGCTAACAGTTCTTTGGAGATGGTGTGATGAGAAAGTGAATAACCCTTAAAGTTGCTATTATGTAAAAAATATCAAGAGTATGACTTAGACATGAACAACTCATTTCAGACCTTTTTCTGATGTCTACCTCACTAAAGAATTTGAAGATTTCTTTTAGCCTCAGTCTTTGGAACAGTTATGTGCCTGGAACTAAGCACATGCTTGTCCCCATTAATTGAAGTCTGTGCTCAAAATGAACTGTGTGCTTCACTGTTACATGGGCTTACATTCTCAACTGTGTACTTGGTGCCTATGTGGCGGTTTGGCGAAGTCTCTTGTAAGCATGTGATCAAAGCCTTGGAAAGCATGGCTATTTGTCAATTAATGACTCTCAGCCAAACCAGTGACATTCTGATACTGTACTAGTTCATGGTGGTCACAATGATATTTTCCTTTCAGCATGCCATGTAGCGTGTGTGTGCACTTTGCCTCAGTCGTACCACTTTGTGTTCTGGTTTTGAAATATTGGACCTAATGTCTTTCTCTGCTGCTGGTTGGGTGCCATCTTCCTTTGAAATTACAAAGATACAAGGTTTTTTTTAACTGTCAGCTTGTCTTTTATCTCTGTGATGTCTGACCCTGTGCTGCTTGTTATATGCTGCCTGCATATTCTGAAAAAAGTTTTCAAAAATGAATTTAAGTGTCTGGATAAGGAAAAAAAAAAAAGGTCTTCACTAACTCTGAATGGATCAACACCTTTGAACAATTGCCTTTTGACTGATAGAGCAAAGTTAAAAAAACTGAAGGTAACATAACTTAGGAATTTTATCCTCCTTGGCAGTAGAAGAATGTATGTTCTGTCTCCATTTGTTGGCATGCTCTTGTCCAGTATGGATCAAGAAAAAGAAATTGAACATCTCTTGTATTTTTTTAATTGTTAGCCGCTTGGAAAATTATGGGTCAGGTAAATTGATAAGCCTGTAAGTATTATTCAACCCATGGTTCTAGTGTTACCTTTCATTAAACTGCTTTAAATGCATGATGACTCAGGCCGGCTGGTTCCACTGCTGCGTTTTTCCATTGTCAAAAGTATGGAAGTTTTGGTCTCATCAGGGCTGCATGGCTTTACTTTGTTTGGCTAAACTGTTTGGATATCCATGCTCCAAGACTGAAGAACATGACCTTCATTCATGGAAAAGTGAACACTTTGTGTACAGTTAGGGCATCACGTGTCAGCTCATCAACATTCACTAATTTTTATCTCTTGCTTTTCACAGCTCCTCATGTTAGATACACCAAAAAGACACTTAGTGTGCGCATATATTTATATGCTTATTTTATTTTATTTTTTCTATATGGCACTGTATCCTGTAAATGTGTCAAGGCACATTATTTTAGAATCTATACACGCTTTAAAGTGACCAGTGGAGTTATCGCACTGAGGAACGTTTGCTCACAATTTGACCACTGGTTTATAAAGGCTTTGATTCACAAGCTCAAGTGGTTAATGAGGTTGCTGCTTCTAGCAGACATGCAGTGTGGGAAAAGCTGATACTCTCGTGAAATAGCTGCATCTTAGAGAGCAGTGATTTAAGGGAAACCATTCCAGATTTTGTTTTGTCAAAGGAATATTGTGTTGTAACTGTGAACACCTTGTGAATCATAAGCCTTGAGCAGCTGATCACTGCTTTCTTCCATTAATATATATTTTATGATACAAAGGAAGGTGAGTGGAGTATAAATGCTCCATTTGTTTGTTTTATTTTTTAAGTCACAGTTGCATCTATTTAAAAAATGGCCTTCCCTTTGATAAATAGCGCAGGTTAAATCAGCATGATTTTTACTTTTATGAGTGGGAAAGCTTTTGTGATATTTGTAATCTCAAACTTGGGCTTGAACTGAAATGTGGCATTTACAAAGATAGAACTGACAGCTGAAACATGGCAATAATCTTGGCTCAGATTTGGAGACTGCTGACCAAGGTGTAGTGACATGTTGGCTAAACTGTGACAGAAGATCCTTATTACATGTGTGTGACTATCAAAGTCCTCTGATTTTTAAAGATCTTTCAGCAGGTTTTCTTCCTATAGTTAGGTTCTTAGTCTGCTTAATTTTAAAGCTGCCTCTAGTACTTGGAGTAAGAAAATAAACTTTTTTTCCCTTCTCATGGCTAGTTTTGGAACTAGCAACCAAACAGCAATGCTTTTTGAAGTTTCATATGATAAGAAACAAAGGTAAGATTCCTTTGTGAATAGGAACAGAGTTACTTGAAGCAGCTTTCAAGTTGTTAAAACTAGTAATCACTGTGTTTATAGGAGTACTAATTGCCCTCTGGAACAAAATGGTGGGATGTGGTTGGTTTTAATCAAATGTAGAGGATTTATTTTTCTGAAAACAGGTACCTTAAGATGTAGATATTTTAAGTGTAAACCAGAAAAATCTTATCTTTTGCACCCAACAAATAATTTGTGAATACAGGTGTTCACATTTGGATAAATGGGTAGAAGCAGCAGATGGATGTACCCAGAGAGTTGTGGTCAATGGCTCAGTGTTCAAGTGGAGGCAGGTGACAAGGGGTGTTCCTCAGGGGTCAGAATTGAGACCAGTTCTGTTCAACATCTTTGTTGGAGATGTAGGCAGTGGGATTGAGTGAAGGCTGGGTGAAGTAGTTGACACCCTGGAGGGAAGGATTGCCATCCAGAGGGACCTTAACAGGCTGGAAAGGTGGGCCAATGCCGGCCTCATGAAGTTCAGAAAGGCCAAGTGCAGGGTCCTGCACCTGAGTCAGCACAACCTCAGGCACAAATAAAGGCTGAGGGGAGAATGGATTGAGAGCAGTACCGAGGAAAAGGACTTGGGAGTGGTAGTAGATGAGAAGCTCAACATGAGCTGCCAGTGTGTGCTGGAGCCGAGTTGCGTCTGGGGCTGCATGAGAAGTGTGGCCAGCAGGGCCAGGAAGGTGATTCTGCCCCTCTACTCTGCTCTTGTGAGACCCCAGCTGGAGTACTGTGTACAGTTCTGGTGCCCTCAGCACAGGAGAGACACAGAGCTGTTGAAGAGGGTCCTGAAGACAGGCAGAGGGAGTTGGGGCTATTCAGCCTGGAGAAGAGAAGGCTCCAGGGAGACCTTATGGCAGCCTTCCATTAGCTGAAAGTGCCTACAGGAAAGCTGGGGAGGAGCTTTTCACCAGAGGGGGTAGTGATAGTGCAAGAGGTAATGGTTTTAAACTGAGTGAGGGTAGATTTAGGTTAGACATCAGGAAGAAATTCTTCACCATGAGGGTAGTAAGGTTCTGAAATAGGTTTCCTAGGGTGTTTGTGGAAGCTCCCTCCCTGGAGGCATTTAAGACCATGTTGAGTGAGGCTTTGTGCAGCCTGGTTTAGTGTGAGGTGTCCTGCTTATGGCAGGGAGGTTGGAACCTGATGGTCTTGAAGGTGCCTTCCAGCCTTAACCATTTTATGATTCTATATGGGAGTCATCTTGAAATTAGATACTTCTAATAAAACAGGGCATCAAAGATGTTACTTGAGGTCTTCTACTTTTTGTAAACTCTTTCTTACTCTTTGGGGACTCAATAAACATTGGGAGTTGACTGGTGTATTTAGCATTTTGCCTTGCCTAAAGCACCATTGCACTATCACGAATCTAAAGTTAACATGAGGAAAGAAGGAATTGATATGTTAAGCATAAAGCTAGAAAAAGTTGAAAGTTAAAGCTAGTATTTTTTGTAGGGTTTGGCTACAAAACAGCATCTGTGTGAGAGATCTGTACTGATCTCTTCCTGGTGTGGAAGGCTCTAAATGGTAGGTAGAACCTGACCATTTGTGAGGATAGTGTTGGCAGGTATAGATATTCAAGAAACTGCTCCAACAGGCTCCTTAAGGTCAGGCTTTTTAAGCTAACACTTGTTTGCAGCCTGTAATTCCGGGTGAAGTGTCTGGCAGGCATCGTAACTGGAATGTGCTGTAACACATTACATGACCCGTCCTGCATGCCTTTTTTTTTTTAATACTGTGGTGCTGCAGCAAAACCAGACTTTTTTTTTTCTTTTTTTTTTTCCCCTCTGACACAGGTTGGGGGGTGCTGCAGTCTTAACGTCTTTTCTGTACGTGACAACAGATTATCTCGGATTCCCTCTGAAATTTCACAAGCCACTGAGCTTCATGTCTTGGATGTTGCTGGAAACAGGTAAGAGCCATGTCGTGTTCTTTTTCTAGTTTTACTTTTTCTAATGACAAAAGACGTTAGGTCTAGGAATGAAGTAACAAAAAAACCCCAGTTATGACTTTTGTGTTAGCATTACTGTTGAGATTGTCAAAGTAATTGTCCCCCTTGGCCTAGAGTAGCATAAATTGTGTGTTGTCTAGAGTACGTTTTCTGCATCGCTTTGACCTGAAGGTAAAGATGGGATTTTAAAAATAGGATTTGTACATTCTTGAAAAAAACTGAGAATCTAGGCCATTTGGTACAGCTTCAGCTGAAACTACCATCTTTAATGTCAAGTGATGCTAAATTTGAGTGTCTTGTCTTGGAGATGCAGTTCAAGTAACAAGTAGTGGCACTTTGACTTTGCAGCTTCTCATGAATCACAGTTGATATGTTTCAGACATCAAAATGCAAAAAAAGAGTGGATTGAAGCTTAAGCCAGCAAATTAGCTCAGTTGCTTAGGAGGAACTTAAATTGAGGGAAAAAAAAAAAAAAGATAAAGGAAATGGCATCTCATCTATGCAATGTAATTATCTCTTAGGCACTTACATATTTCTGTTCTGACAGTTGTTTATATGTAAGGCTCCAGAGCTGAAGCAGCTGTCTGCCTTCCAGGACATTTTACTGCAGTAGAAAAAGCTCAGCATTGTTTTATCTGTTATTCACAGTTTCAGAGAATTATGGTGTAAAGTTAAGTTGCACATTCTTTTTAAAATAATTGAGCAGTTGGAGTTGATGACTATTTCAGTGCCTTCTATTAGAGACATTAATCTCAATCATGTTTATTCCGATTTGGGGATGTTATACTTAAGAGCCAACTTCCTGACCATCTATTACATCTCCTAGAGATTGCCCTGACTTTTTTTACTTAGATAAAGGAAATGGCATCTCATCTATGCAATGTAATTATCTCTTAGGCACTTACATATTTCTGTTCTGACAGTTGTTTATATGTAAGGCTCCAGAGCTGAAGCAGCTGTCTGCCTTCCAGGGCATTTTACTGCAGTAGAAAAAGCTCAGCATTGTTTTATCTGTTATTCACAGTTTCAGAGAATTATGGTGTAAAGTTAAGTTGCACATTCTTTTTAAAATAATTGAGCAGTTGGAGTTGATGACTATTTCAGTGCCTTCTATTAGAGACATTAATCTCAATCATGTTTATTCCGATTTGGGGATGTTATACTTAAGAGCCAACTTCCTGACCATCTATTACATCTCCTAGAGATTGCCCTGACTTTTTTTACTTTTCTTTTTTGAACCAGGCTGATGTATCTTCCCCTGTCACTGACTACCTTAAAGCTGAAGGCTTTGTGGTTGTCCGATAACCAGTCCCAACCCTTGCTGACGTTTCAGACTGACACAGACCCTGAAACAGGAGAAAAGATTTTAACATGTGTATTACTTCCTCAAATGCCTTCTGAGCCTGGTTGCCAAGGTAAGTGCCTAGAGACAATTTTCATTATCTTTAAAAGCACTTCTTTGATTACTATATTGTCTGCTCTATAAACATTTGTAAAACATGCGTGAGTTCTAATGAGCAAACCAAGGAAGTTCTGGTTGAATTCTCACTTCTAAAATTTTTGTTGTTGCGTTTTTTTGGGCTTTTTTTTTGTTGTAATCACACTAGTTTTTAGAAGACTTGGAAATCATGGCTGTGAGTGAAATACAGTGATGCCAGCTACAATAAATAAAATGCAGAGCTGGAAGAAGACGACTTAATCATATCGTTATTCTGAAGCTTGCCAGTGAGCCAGCTAGGGCTGTCCATATTTGTGTGCATTGATTATACATCTTAAATACATACAGTTGTAGTGAAAAGTGGTGACTTTCCAACTACAGTCTCTTTACCAGAAAAATAATTGCATAGCTAATAATAAACAGCAGCTATTTTTAGCAAGCTAATTTTATTTGAAGCAAAGATGCTGTATGTAACTATTATATTCTTCACCAAGTGTAGAATTTCAGTGTAAGTTGCTTTAACTTTTGTGCTGAAACTTGCCTCTGGGTCAGGTGGAACCATAAACTGTTTTTCACTGTTGGCTGGGTTGCTGCTCCAGTAATTTCTGGATGTTTTTTGTCCTCAAACTTTTATAGCAATGTGTGAACATTCAAGGGGACTCATCTGAGCTAATATTTAAACTTTTGCTGTAATCACTGGAGAGTAATTTATCCCATCCAAGAATAGTCTTTTAAAATAAATAATGTAGATTCTTCTGCACTGAGACCAAAAGGGGCCTGAGAAGAGAAGCTCAGCTGTAGATACCTGTATTGTAGCTACCCAAACTTACCTAGATTCATTCCACTCTTTCAGTACTATGCAGCTGGAAAAATAGAAACCGTTAAAGCAGTAAAAGTGTAGAAATGGCAGAAATGGCTCTGGTTTGTGTCAGCTTCTGGATTTTACAAATACAAATTGCTTTGAAAACTGAAATAAGTAAATGAATTAACCCCCTTAGATTTAGAGAAGATTAAACTAGATCGAGAAGAGTAACTGAGGTAGACTGACTTTTTCTAAAGGCCTCCCTGCTAGAAATTAGATTTCCTCATCTCCAAATGACCTCTCATGCCTTCAGGGGTTGGAGTTTTGGAATGAAGATTGTTGGATGCGTATGCCTAGCAATACTAAAAGGGTGAAGTTGGTGAAAGCAATGATCCTATGTTATGGAATGGCATTTAGGGAACCAGCTAATGCCAGATGGCAGCTGTGATTCAGAAGAAGGGCATGTATAGTGGCACTTATATTAAGTTAACTAATCAGTACTCTAAAATAGCCACAAACCTGGAACAGTCCCAAGTACAGAAATTTCTCATTTACACAGAAACTATTGTGTGTAGTTGATAACAGAAAATTAACACAAGTTCTGTTGGCTATAACTATTTTTTTGATAGAAAATTGTAAATCTCCGCCGAGTGGCTGGCTGGATGTCACAGTTATTAACAATATAGCATGTTGTTGTTTTAGACTTGCTATGAATCTTCAGTTAACTGTTTGCTGTTCTGACAGATAACCTACCACGATGTGGTGCACTGGAGAGTCTGGTAAATGAAATGTCAGATGAAACATGGAATGAGCGGGCAGTGAATAGAGTCAGTGCAATTCGCTTCTTAGAAGATGAAAAAGATGAAGAGGATAATGAAATGGTATGTTTTCCAAGTGGTTGGATACCTGCAGATGCTGTGACTTTTTACATTTTTGCATTATCTGAGCTGTCTTGCTGTAAATATTTCAGCTGTGACTGCATGCTTTTGCATATGTTTGTAGCGGAAATATTCATGTTAACTGGCAAAACTTTTCATATTTACTTAAAATACCTTTTTTTCCCCTTTTATTTCTGCTTTGAATATAACCTTTATGCTTTATGTTCTGATGCAGGACAGTCTTTGTTTTGCTTTATTTTCCTGCGTGTGCTTGGGATGTTTTCTTTCCAGAAACAAGATAGGATCTTTTTCTGCATCTGTGGAGCTTTGCTGCCTGAAAGTATACAGGGTCTAATTTAGGATTCCAGCACTCTGGCATGCATCTCCATTAAGTTTGCCATTGTTTGTCTCTCTGATTTCTATTTCTAATCTCTTTCTTACTCTTTATTTCTTCTTTTTCCCTCCACCATTTGCCCTGAAACAACCATAGTGTCCATAAACAGCAAGAATGTTGCTCATTAGTTTCCCACTTAAACAAAGGATGTGGGAACATCTGTCACTGTACTTATAAGACCTCTCCATTAAGTTGGCCTCTGCATGTCCTGATGATCAAAATGCAGTGTAAACTTTGGCTTTACTAACTTTCATTAACAATCAAAACTCTTTGTAAACATTAAAACAGCTTCAATCAGATTTCCAGCATACTTCTGTAATGCTCTAAAAGCTTGCTGGTGGTCCTTATTAGAGCTCAGCTTGAGATACTTCAGGGCACTGTCTGGATTGTAGCACACTAGAAACATGGTCTTACTTTAAGAAGTTACTATAAAAATTCTTAGGGAAATGAATATTTATGTTTTCAAGTAAGGTGGTTGCTTAATCCAAAGCAGCAGAAACTAAATGTCTCTGACAAGCATGGTTTGTAGACTGGCTGATAAGAGAGTTTAGGATGGTGGTTCTTAACTGTGCCAACCTGAGAACGTCCGTACAATAACAAGGGCTCAGGTGTTACTGATAACTGCTTTCAGTCATCATAGTACAGCCTGACTCAAGGAAAGAAACTTTTTAGGGGACAAAGAAGTTTATGATCCTACAAGGGGAGAGAAAGGGCAGATTTCCAAAGCAATCTTGACCAGTGCACCCATTAATGGGTGATCAGTTCTGCACAGTTCATTCATATGCTGCTGAAAAGTAATTGCACATGTATGTATTGTATTGATATGTATTTGTGCAATTTTTCTTGGTGTTCTCTTGGGTTCTAATCTGGATGCTAGCTGGGGTTTTCTTAAATTTTGTTTTCCTTGTAAAGGTTTCAGCACAATGATTTTAGACTTTCCTGGTTCTAAGATGGGAGAGAAACGCTCCCTCTTCTTCCTTTCAAGATCTTTGTTCTCAATTCACAAGAGAACCAAACTGTGCTGGGGCTGGAAGGCATACAGGGCTCCACACAAACATGTATTTGACACTGCAAAGAGATCTTGTGGGATTCTTTCAAAACCAACTGAATGTTTTTTGTTTGAGACGTGATCTTAAATCACTTGGATTATTTTTTGGGAAAAAAATTACTCTCAGCTATATTTATGAAAGAATCTTCACTTCATAACTTGTAATTATACTTCACTTGAGTAGCTTTCAGATTAGTAGGTCAAGAGAGGAAAAAATTTGCTCTTAGACAGTTCTTAAAACTGTCTTAATAAACATAATAAATAACGTTCAACATAGAGCATCATAATTTGAAAAGGAAAAGGGGGGAAAAGAAGAAAACAAAAACTTAATATTTGGTATGTGAATGCTAAAGCCTTGAAAGTGTATGTTATATTTCAAAGAGACAAAGGCAAAACCACTTATTGCACTGTTTATTTTTAGAGAACACTTCTAAGGCGAGCCACTCCACACCCTGGAGAATTAAAGAACATGAAAAAGACAGTGGAGAATTTACGGAATGATATGAATGCTGCTAAAGGACTGGATTCAAACAAAAACGAGGTCAATAATGCCATTGACAGAGTGACCACTTCTGTGTAGAGTTTCATCTCCAGGTTTTACCTCCTGTGTCTTCCCCTGCTGTTGAAATGTTCCTGTCGTCTTCTGGGACCTCATTTGAGCCCCTTTTTGTTTTTAACCAGAACCTGATTCATCGTCTCCATATATGTGAAAAGCACTGCCCGCTGGAAGAAGTGCCTTATTTCATCCAGGCAGTGAACCAATAATTTCCAAATCAATATTGTAATTTTAATAGTGCTAAGCTTTTTTAGGTACAATACACTACTGTATGCAGAATACAATATTTTTGTCTTAAACACAGGGGAAATAATGCTTTTCTTTTCCAGAGTGCTGGGATATCGTTTTCGTACTGGCTTGATATGCTGGTGAGAAATATAGTTTTGTGGAAAATTGATACACTTTTTTATTTTTTTGGCAGCTCAGATGGTGTAAATTTTAAATTTTTGTATAGGACTTTCATAACAAGAATGATGTATTTCATTTTTAAGAGAAAATTTATCTTGAGCGGTACATATTTTAGTATTTGTGGACGAGAACAAGTTTCACGGACGACTGTATTTGTTTGTACCACCCATTGTGCCTTACTGTGTCTGGTATGTCATGTTAATCTTATATAGAGCAATTCTACAGGAAAGTGAGTAGATTTAAACTTGGTCTCCTGTTTTAGATATGTTTTTCTTTTTGGACAGTAAGTTTTTGGGATTTTTACAGAAGAGGATTTATGTTTCTATCATGGGATTTTAGGGAGTGAAACACAAATGCTAGTTTTGTTGTAAACAGAATTAAGATTGAAATGACCAAACTGCTATTGTTTATTACATAATGCACTCACACTTTAACTTAGTTGTAATGAAACATCTTGTTTTGGATGCTGTGTTGCATTGCAGTCACTAGAAATTCATATTTCCATTGTGGTTTGTTGTTTTTTTTAAATGTGCCATCTGTAAAATAACTTGAAAAACAGCACGATAGACTTTCAGAAGCACAGTATGAAACTAGTTTTATGTATTACACAAGAAAGCATGATTCTTTAAAGTGCTTTGGTGGTTTTATATAAAGATATAAAACCATAATAAAAAAAATCTTTAAAAGCTTCAGTAGATTTATTGTATCATTAAAATAGCAATTAAAGTATGTATTAATTAATACTGAAATTTACTATCATTGTTACTGTGTTGCACATCCAGTGGACATTGCTGATTTCAAGGTCTTATTTAATCTCTGGGTTCGGGTTTGTTTATAAAGGTAAGTATGAACTGAGAAGAATTCAGTAAATAATGATTTTGAAAAAGGCTAATAAAGATTGATTTTGGTGTCTTTGGATTCTGTATGTGCCATGACCTAACGAAGACCACAAACTTGTTCAGTGCAGGGGCTTGAGCAGTCTGAGTTTAGAGCAAAGATTTTAGATAGTCAGTGTGATCTAATGCAATGAACCCAAATTTCAGCAAAATTAAACACCTGACACTTCTTGCATGGCTAACCTTGTCCCTTCTTCTAATGAATATTTCTTCCAGTAAGCATTGGTTGTATCAGGGTTTCTGGGAGAAGATGGGAAAGGAGGAGATGGGGAACTTTTAAAATTTTGTTCTGAAGATTTTACAAAAGGCACTGCTTTCTTTTTGATGTTGAACGTGTAGGCATTGCAAGCCATCTGCAAATATTGAAATTTAGCCTGGTAAAATACAGTGATTTTTATTTTCTTCTCATCCCAAGGATTTCTTATATAGACTTCAGGGCATTGTCTCTTTGCAGGAGGTGCTGCAGGTTGGTAGGTGGTAAGTTAGTTCAGGGGTAGTGCAATTTCATTCTTCCCTAGGCAGAGTTCTGGTTGTTCTTGGTAAGCTGCTGTTAAAATAAGAACAGAAAGAAAATGAGATTTTTGCACAGCTGACTCCAACCTTGGCTAGAATTTTCTTTTTAAAGTACATACTGGAATTGACACAACAAAACTTTAAAAATATAGAAACTCTATAAATAACCAGAGTCCAAGTGAACCTTGGCAAATTCATTTGAGATGAAAACAAGTTCCTAAAAAAGACAGACCAAAGCCAAAGGCAGCAAGATTCTGTGCTCTGTGATGACAGTTTTTCATTTGGAGGCTGTGGTTTGTTTTGTTTTTAGCCTCTGCTCCAGATATAACCAGGAGAACTCCATCAGCTAGATGAAATGAATGTGTAAAGCCTGGATTTGGGCCTTGCCTTGTGTGTCACCAGATGAAAATCAAGCACCCATGTGCACCTGTTCCCTCCTGCTAAAGTCAGGTAGGGAAGGAGAAAGAGAGAGAGAGACTTTGCTGGGTTGAAAACTAAACTACACAGCTTTAATTAAACACTAATGATAAAAGAAAATATATACAATTATATACAAATGTGTTCAGGTATGTACAAAAGCCTCTTGCCTTCCCCCACCTGCAGCAACTCCCACAGCATCTCCTGAGCTGTGAACAGTCCCAGAAAATCATGGAGCTGCTGGAGAAAGTGGAGAGTGCTGGGGGTCAGGAGAGCTCATGGGTTGATGGTGATGAATGGACAGAGTCCTCCCTGGACACCAGCCATGGAAGGAAGAGAAGGGGAAAAGAAGCAGGAAGGAAGTTGTCTCCTGTGATCTCTGACCTTCCTCTGAGCTTACGTAGATATATGGAATGGAATATCTTTGGCCAATTTTGCTGTCTGTCTAACTCGGCCTCCTATGGGGGGGTCATAGATCTCCTTGTAGTGTCTGAGCTGGCAGAGTAAAGATGTGGCCTTGAAGACCCAGCAGTTAGAAAAACATTCCACTGTTACCAACCTTAGTTGGAAGGCTCTGGTGCTAGTTAAAAGAGAGCTTGCTGAAGGAAAAATAAAAATCAGTAAAAGGAAAATTTGCTTCATCCTGTCTCAAACTGGGACAGACATAAATTTCATTATTGTGATAGCTGCTGGGCCACTAGTTAGTTGCTTTCTGTACACTCCAGCAGGCTTGTGGAGGCAGCACAGCAGCCTAGAAACTAGCCAGAAGAGAGGTGCTGCTTGCTACATCAGCTTTGACATGAAGTAACTGGTCAGCAATCCATTTTTTTAGTTATTTATTTTCAGTGGAAGGAGTATTTCTTTTCTGTTTCTCTGGCTACAGAGAAGTGAGTGATACAGGCTTGTTGCCTTCATTTGGGACAATTTCACATTCCTACACCCTAGGGTGGCTGGTATTGGTTGTGGTCCTCTTGGCCAAAGACAGGTGGTAAGAGTTGTTTATTGAAGGGGTTTGCCTCCATTCATTTGTGAAAGAAAATTAGTTGTGCTCAGCATAGAATCCAACAGTTTGTTGACAAGAGGTTGGAGGACTTGAAGTCTGTCATCAGACCATTCTGCTGCTATCTCCAAATGAGTGATGATGTTCAGTGCTTTTCACTGCCATCTGTCTTGACTGTGAATTCACGCAGTGAAGGCCTGGATTTATGTTACGTTTTTTCAGTGAGTATCTGGGGAGATTGGAGGGAGGTGGAGTGTTTCCAGTCCTCCACACTAGCAGTGCATGGTGCTGTACCTCATTAAGGTCTTTTGTTTGTGCTCTTTGTGTAGGGCAATTTGAGATTCTGTTCTGCTACAGGTAGTTCAGCATTTACATTTCAGTGTTGGGTGTTTGAATCTGGCAGTAAGTAAATTCTTCCAGTCTAGTAGAAAGTTGAGGTATGGCAGCAGCTGTTGGTACTGTGGAATAATGAATGAAGTGTCACTTGTTTTCAGAGCTGAAAAGCTGCTTAGGTATTCCCTGTGCAAACAGTGACAAGTGGCTACCCTCTCCTCCACCTCTTGAATGTCTGGTTCACAGCAGCTTTATCATGAAAGAGTGAATTGCATGTCATTCCACCTGGTCAAACCTCCAGCAGCCTGGACCCCTCATGGTTGCTCTGATTTCTCCAACTGTCTGTATATGTGCCATTTTATAAAGTGGGTTAGGTGTGCTTGTCCTCCTGACAGAGTTGATAAATTTCCAGGCAGTTTCAACTGCAATTTATAGCCAGAAAAATAGTGTTTGTTACACTGAAATACTGTGTGTCCTTTAGAGCATGAGCCCTCCCTTCCCAGTCTCTGGGTCATTTGGTGATGCTTTGAGGAGCCTGAGCAGTGAGTACAACTTTGTAAACAGAACTTTGGGGTGCTTTTTTTCTTTTTAAACCTTCCTACTTTTTAGTTGTTTCCTAAGTCTTTTTTGGAGTGGGTCTGATGCAAGAAAGGAAACACTACAAAATTTGCACACTGTCAGCTAAACAGGTAACCAGGGAAAAACAATTAACTGTAGTGGGAGAGTGGATTTAATATTAACCTGTCAGTTACTGCATGTGAGTTTCCTTTATTATTGAAAAAAGTCACAATTCCATTGTTTTACAAGAGCAGGAAAAAAACAAAAAGCACTTTCTTGTTACCATTGTTAGTGTAGTTAGGGTAGGAGATTTTTCCATTCTGCATGTTGCTCCAGGCTTTTTCCATAGCTTCTATATAATTTGTGTTGAGATTATTTTTCTGGCTTACATTCCATATTTTTCATAATCAGTGTATTGTGGGAAAGCGTGTACTGGAAACTTACCACTGTCCTTTCCAGCAAATGACTTGTTTGTGTCCAGGACAAGCTGATTAGCCTGCTTCTTGTCTAATATTAGTGCTTTACTCCAGTGCTGGGTGAACCGTTTTAGCTGATTAGCTACTTAACAGGTTTCACTACTTGCTGCTCAGGAGTTCAGCTTTTGAGAGAACAGTAGTGACACCAGGAATTTAATTTTTTTGAAATATATTCTTTAGCAGTTGATCCTGCCCTGATTCACTGTAAATGTCTACCTCCCACTGAGACTTAAGCATACTAAAAAGAAGTGTCTAGACCTTTTGTTAATGGAGAATTCAACACCTGTTTTCGCCTTGGCTCCAGAAAATAAAGCTATTTTAGTTTTTTAATTGACTTGGTGAGAGTGTTTCCCATACAAAAAAGGCAAGAATGTGTGCTTGGGGCTTAAAGTTTTGAATTATAGTAGCAGGTGTATTACCATAAAAATATTCCAGGTATCTGAATGCACTGTCAGTAGTGACCATGTAGGCTGGGTGTTTCAGTACAGTACTTAAAAAATGCATGTGGTTTTTATGTCTTGGCTTTCATTGTTAGGGCATTTGGGATTATTTTTCATTTGCCTGAGTGATATAGGGTGATACACAGCATTTGCACACCTTCGTTGCCTGGAGGAAAATAATTCTCTAGAGGATTTATTAGTGAGATCTTATCGGAATAGACACCTTGTACTTTCTGAGAACAATTTGTCCTCTTAGCATGCAGGGGTAGGATACAGAGCAGTATTTGTGTTCTGAACAGACTGCCTTTGAAAACATGAAAAACACATTGAAAAGAGGTAAAAAGGGAGCCCACCTGACTTGCTGGTAAAATATTGAAGGAAAGAATTACTAATAAAGGGAGGTGAAAAGTATATTTCCATGGAACATAACTGCTGAGGCTGATAAATAGTTTCTCCCTCCAAACACTTCTGCATTTACAAAAAATCAGAGTTACATAGTCCAATACCCAGGAAACCTGAAGCCCTAAATACTGGATTCTCCTACTTCCTTCGTTTTATTCAAAATGTTTTTAAGAGAATGTACCGCTATGTACCTCCCTCTGGGTTTGCTGCTAATGACCTAAGACATTGACCTTTTTCATATTTTTGGGTTTCAACTTTCCAATGTATAAAACATAAGAAGACACTTCCTACTTTACCAGGGCAGTAAGAAGGCCAATTATCATCTGTAAAATTGTATAAGGATAACTGGATTTTGTCTCTTAATACTGGGATATTTGCTAGTAGCATCTCTTGTCTCAATGCATGATTCTACAGTATTTAATATAATGAGAACAAATGAATAAATTACTGGAAGTTTTATAAGATTAACTGTGCCAGTTTCCACTTTGGGGGTGGAATTGCCCAACACAATTTTCAGTAATACATTGGAGTAAGGAGTTTGTTTTATTTTGGGGAGGGGGAAAAAAAATCCAGTAAAAAAACAGGTTGAGTGGTCACATTGCACTAAAGCACCGCAAGCAGAGCTTGCTTCCATCTCTTCCTTGTAGCAAACTCTGCATGTGACAATTCAAAATCTGTATCTGTTACCTTGAGAGGCCAGCCTTTTATTGTTCTTAGAGAACTTGGTAGGCTGGGTTTGAGAAGTGGTTGGTTGGGATTAGGAATTGGGGTCAAACAAGGATGACACATTGTCTTGGAAGATGTTAAATGCTTCACTGTACCTGCATTTATTTTTAGAGTGAAATTCCTTTTTGACTTCCTAATGAGCTTAAAAGTTGTCAAGGATTTAAACTGTCCCTGGAAATACCCTGAATATTAGGAGGTATCACATTAGCTATTCTGCAGTAAAACAGACCAAAACAGTACCCAACATTTTCAGCTAGTGTGTGATTTACCTATCTGTTAGGAATTGCTATCCACCGAGTTAATATTCATAGTAAAAAAACTTCCATTTAAGGGTGCCCCTATGATTCCTTATTCAAGGCAAGTGTAGAGAAATACCAGTAAATACCCTGCCTTGAGTTTTCAATGGTCAGGAGGAGTGGGGGCCACTACCATGTAGTGATTATTAGTGCTGCTTTTGCATTCAATTCACTGATGAACTAAGTTGACAATTGGCTTGAGTGTCCTGAGCCATGTGGTTTGAAAGAACCAGCAATATGGGCCATTTATCAGCAATCTCTGTTATCACTGAGTGCCAGTGCAGCTCAAAATGTGGTTTAGCAGCAAGTTTCCTATAGTGGCCAATCTTGCCTTCTGTGTACAATGCAAATAATTCTTTGTTTGGGCTATGATCTTTTCAAGATTCACACAAAGGTCTATAATATTTTCCCATGAGAAGCTGAGATATTGTCCATTTCCTAGTTTTTTTCAGCCATCCTGAAATCAAAAGCAAATGAATCCCAAGGGGAGCTCCTTCAGCAGCTGAAGATGAATCCAGCATGGACAGCCTTGTCCCATCTCCTTTTCTTTATCAACCTTAGATCTAATAGAAATGGTGACATCGGTGGTGCTGATAACAGCAAGAAATCTCTGTGTGTAAACATACCCATTCTGCATTAAAATGGAAAAAAGGGAGCTTAAAGAATTCAATCTGAATGAAATCTTTTTAAACAATGTGAACTTCACTGTGTGCTGCTGATTGCCCCACCATAAGCTTCCTGATAGTTTTTTTTTATTGTACGTGTTCTCTACCTCTTTGCCTTCTTAGAGCACGTGTGTTAATGTATCTGTTTCTGTGGTGTCAGGCTGCTTTCTGCCACTGGATTTGTAACACCAGAAGAAAATGTAAAGGCAAGATTGAAATAAAGCTGAAAATAAAGATAAACATTACTTTGACTTGTGAAGTTCAGTGAAATTAAGGTATATAAGTAGTCTTGACACAACTTGTCATGTATGAACTTCTGTGTATGAAGAAGTGGAGTTTTTTTAAGGTAAATATGTACCAGATGTTTTTGAAAACTGGACTGTAGTCACTTTGAAAATCAGAAAACCTTAAAAGATCAATTTAATATTGTACTTTATTGGGACCACTTGACAACTGATTGTTTATGCAATGAATAATGAAAAGAGGGGTGTGGCTTGATAACTTTTCTTTAACCCAGGTCATGAGACGAAATGGGATGGTCACTAAAGGTCTAAGTACTCATGTTTATTTTCTTAATAGTACAAAGTATAACATTATTGAATACTGTTGTTGATCACCAATTCTTCTTTATGATGCTGAAGGTGGGCTTGGTTCCATGGTTATGTAAATTCCTGAAGGCTTCCACTAATGTTGCAGTATTGCCTGTTAACTGGCAAAGTGTCTCTCTGGGACTGAAGGTACCTCGCAAGGTAAAAAACAGAAACCCAGTATTTACATGATACTACAGTACCTTGCAGAACTTGCCAGATGGTTTCTGCACATACATGCTTCAATCACTTTCTTCACTTTCTTAAAATCTATTGCCTTTATTTTTTTTGTCATCTTCCTCTCAGGTCTCTATTAAGTGGCTTCCCAAGTCTCCTAAACTGTGCAGTGGCCATAACTGGAGCTCCCAGGGCTCTCGCTGGGCCTCATTGAAAGGAAAGGAAAGTTTCCATGGTGGTAACCTGTACAAATTCAGCTCTGCTAATGGAAAATGGAGGGAAGGAAGGATCAGTCCTGAGCAAGAAGCAGAGGAACTGGAGGATTCTGATGATGTAGGTAGCCTCCTTGAAGTCAGAAGGGATGTTGTGTCTCCATCACGAAACTAGTCTGCTTGCGGTGCTGAGCAGCTTGAGTTAGCAGGAGGGTGGACTGCCTATACTTTCACTTCCATGCTGGTGCAGGGGGTGCAGAATCATATTCAATGTTTTATTCCTTTCATTTGCTTGCACTTAAACAATTCATCCAAACCCCAGGAGTACAATGCAGCTTGCAAGTTAAGATGAGTAACCTGAGCAATGATGAGATACATCCAGTTTTTATTTCACTCCTGCTTATATCTGCAGTTACCAACATTCTCCATCTCTTTCAGGTAGAGGTGTTGTTAGCAAGCTCAATGTCTCCCAAGGACTGGATGCTAGAAAAGTGAGGTTGCAGTGCTGATTCAATGCATGATTAGTTTGGGGTAGTGCTCTTCCAGGGTGCTGACATTTAGGAAACTCTGGATGGCTTCTCCAGCCTGTGCCCACTGGGTGTCTGGCACCTGGGTGGCACCGTTGCTGCTTTCTCAGTCATAGCCTGGGAGAAGGAGGTTGTGATTGCACTCTTGCAGCCTTTCCATTTCAGCCCTTTTCCTCACCAGTTCAGATGTTTGCTGGGGGTTGAGGGAAGAATTTTGATGCCTGCTTCTCTGCCAGGACCTTCACTCCCTTCCTAGCTCCCAATTGCTGCTGCTGTGCCCCCTCTTCTAGCTCTTGCTTGTGGCCTTTCTCTTCAGCACCCTCAGCACTCCAGCACTGCTGATGGGTCTGGGCTAGTCAGCCTGGCACCATTAAAGCAGAATCTCTCCCAAGAGTCATAATGAGTGTTTTATGTGACTTAAAGCTAAACAAATTACCCTTTAAGTGAAAATGGGAAGCAGTCATGCCTTGCTTACTCTCCCTGGTGTTGGCAATCCTTCTCTCCATCTCAACCAAAAAGACATTGTGGGAATGCTCCCATATAGATTGAAACGTGAAGTGTTCAGTAGAGTTTCTGCAAAGCTGTTTGTGTTAATGCCACTGCTTTTTATTTCTAGTATTAAACTATTGAACTTAAGAAGAAATTTATGGGGCTTATTTTCAAAGGTGTTAACCTTTGCTGCATCATTTTACTGCCAACAGAAGATACAAGCATGATACTATGAAGATGTGATTCAACCTTACCCGTAAAATTAAGGAGCAAAAATCAGCTAAATATAAATAAAACATTAATAAATTGTGAACAGAATTTGGACATAATGGCTGAATTTCATTTATTTCACCAAGCATAGCTGATAACTTGAGAACATCATTGTGTTTTGCAAATTGGTCTGAAGCTTTAACTGTTCAGTGGGTGTGTTTTAATTGTTTATTTCTCTTTTCAAGCTCATGTGGTTTAGCTAAGCATAGGGTGACACTGTCAGTTCCTCACAGCATCTCGGAGCATATATAGCCTAGAGCCAGGCTTCAGGATACTTCACCTTAGAGGATCTGATTCCAGTGGAGGCCTGAATCACTAAGCTGGCAGGTGTTCACTTATGGCCATCTGCAGCTAAACAAAGTCAATACAATTACTTAAAATATTTTCCTAGAAATGTAGATGCAAGGTAGGGGCTTGCCTTCCCTCTCCCACCTGTGGTCACCAAAATAGAACATGAGCCTTGAGGAACTATAAGAAATGTTTTATTTTTTGTATGGAAAATAATTTCTTTTGCCTCATGTGTGTGGTTCCTTGCTCTGGGACAGCAGATTCAGTGCTATGGAGCTGCCAGAGGCTGCCCAGAATAGACTTGTGCTCATGCTCCATGCTTTTTATCAGGCATTGCAGGATTTAGCTGAATATATGTGTATTTTATGTGCTTGAGTGTGCCAGGGGATCTAGAGAAAGGCTGTATGAATCACAGTTTTTCCCCTGTTCCCACCATTTTCCACTTCCATGTTGAGGGAAAACCATGGTAAAAGAAAGAGGCTTGTACCTTTGTTTGAAGGTTGCAGTTTTGTCTTCAGTGAAACAAATCCTAATGTACAGCAATGGGATAGAGAGGAACACATCCAATTTGCCATGGGTAGGGTCTGGGTATGAGGTATTTTCCTTGCTGTTGCCATGTTTACCTTTTTTATCTTTAATCCCCAGGAGCCTATTTCCAAGTTTTCTGGCAGCCTTTTTGATACCAATGATAGCATGAGAAATCAAAGAAACACCCGAACAGCTCTTCAAGAAAAGCATAAGTCAGCAACGAAGGGGAAGACTCTTCTGGGGACTAACACTAAGGGGCAGCCACCCATCTCAGCAGTGGGCAGCTTCCCCAGGGAGACCGGACGGATCCCAGAGGAATTGAGGGCAGTGGATGCACCACAGCCCCCGCTGAAGGTATTGAGCTGCTGCCTGGGATGGGCTTTGCATGTCCATGGGGAAGCCTACATGTCCGTGGGGTAACATGCATATCCATGGGGAAGTCCACTTCTGGTGTGAGGCAGTCTATAAAAGATGCAAAGAAGGGGAGGTGTTGCATGATAGATGTCATGGGACTGACCTTTCACAGAGGTTAAGCTGTGGCTTATATGGAAAAAGAGCTTTCCGTTAAAAATAAGTAAATAATTTCTCTGTAGCCATCCAATACAGTCTCATTTTGTATGCCCAGCTTTGGTATTGCAAGGGCAAGCCAAGGTTGTATGTAGGTGAGCACTCTGTGAAGTCCTTGCTTAGTCCTTGGTTTAGGAGCATTGGCATGGCCTTACCCTCACGGCATGAGAAAGCCTTTTTCCCATAAAAAGGGATAGGTATGTTCAAATGAGAATTTATTAGTGAGAAATACAAGATATGGGCTGAAGTTTATGGATAAATATGGACTCTGAACTCAATGGATATATCCCATCTTGGCATACTTTGGAGCACATTAGGCAGAAAGACGCTTTATGGGTTGGCTTCTAGGGGTGGCCCAGTAGAGATGGCACCTCTGCTGACCACCTGTGGGGTGGGAGATGCAGAATTGTGCTGCATCCCTGGGGCTATGGGATGCAGTATCAGGAAAGGCAGGTCGCCCAGTGTGGCACTTGTGCTGGGACCTGTCCCCAGAGCACTGCTGGAAATCATGGGCTCGTGAAGTCTCAAGTGTGTGGGTAATGCTGTCTAAGCAATATTAGGCAGGGTGGTTTTCATTTGACTGACAGGGTATTTTCATACCTTTTTAAGCATTAGGAATGTCAGCTGAGTGTGTTATATGTGCAAGAGTAATTGCATACTTTCATTATATTTTGAAACACAGCTGTGTTGAAATACTCTTAATTATAAAATACAACAGGTTATTAAAAGCCTGAATTGTCTTAGAGATATGAAGCAAGCCAATGAAAATAAGAGCATTTTGTTACTGTGATGAGGTGAAATGAAATTTGCATTCGGATTCCACTACATGATGGGAAGGTGTTCTTTAAATTCAATGCAGTTGTTGTTTTAGCAATTAGCAAATTATTATTTGCAACTATATCATATACTAAAGAAAAAAAACAACCAGCAATTGGGGGGAACAAGTCTAAAATGCTGACTGTCTTTGAAACTGATTTGATTTGGCCTTTGTTGTGAATTCTGTAAATTCAAAAAATTATTCAGGATTTTGTACTGATACCAGCAGGAGGAGAATAGACTAGATAGACTACAATTTGTGCTGCTCTTTAAAAAGCTTCCTGATTTAGAGTTAATGGTTAGAGTACTGTCAAATCTTTGGTAGAGTTAACACATACATGCAGGAAGCCTATTTAAATAAAATAAAATTACTGTAATAGTGCTCAGATTCAGTTATCTGTTCTCAGAAGAGTTGAGAGTAAGCAAATCCGACTGGAGATGAGGTTCCAAAGCAAAAGTTTTCCAGAAACTTATCAAAAAACATTTACTTTTCACTCCTGTGTGCTAGTGTTGCCATCATGAGTGCTCAGTAAATTGGTGGGTTTTAGGAAGCAACTAGTTTGATCAGCAGCTTTATATGGTCTTGGCATGACTCTAAAACCTGGAGAAATACTTTATTCTTGGTGTTATTGAAGAGAATAGTCTTGCATGTGCTGGTGTTGAAGCATTGCACCATTTGTCTCTGGGCTGAGTTCTAGTGGGGCATGTCTACTGGTGTTCAGAGCGGGAGGTAGATTTTCACTGCTCATGTAATGAATAGGCAATGTTTTTTATTAATCAGGTCACTTATCCATTATAATTCTTTTCCAGATAACCATTACTGTGTGCAGTCAAATGGGGAGTCTTGGTATTAGCATTGCTGGTGGAAAGGGCCCATCTTCATGTAAAGACAATGATGAGGTGCATTTCATTACTCAAAATTTATCTAGTAACCATTGGAAAGAAAACGATAAGCAGTTCTTTGAAGCTATTGTATTTTGTTGTTTTCTTTCTGAGGTTGTCCTCAGTCTAACATCACTGACTTCATAACCAAGCAAACAAGGGTAAACGTGGCTAACTTTTTTCCCAAAATAGAAGCTGGCAGTAGATTTTGGTGGAGAAAGTCCTGGAGAGATGATTTTGAAGAGAAAACCTGATGTTAACCAATGATTTTCCAAAGACAACCTGATGGCTGAAACACCATTGGCTTGTTTCCACTTTTTGCCTCAATTTGGGGTCACTCTGTGGCAATCCACATGCCTCTCCCATCCCATTTGCTCATTCCCAGGAGCTTACTTGATTTGAGAGAAGTATTTCCCACATCTTCTCACTGAATCATCATTTAAATAAATCATAGTTTCTCAGTTCGTCCCCCATGGCACAGTGTAAGCAATCACTTTTGTTCATTCTTGTATGTGTCAGCCATGGAGGCTTTTTTTTTTTTCTCCTTGCTAATGTACTAAGACTAAGTTTTTGCTTAGATGCAGAAGAACATCAAGTCTTGAAAATTAATTCCTGCATGTTTTGTTTTTTTTTACATCTAAGAGCAATGGAAGAAAGCAGGTCTGAAACCTGTCTTTTGTGTTAGCAGGGGATTGTGATTTCACGGCTGTCGAAAGATGGTCCAGCAGGCTTGGCTGGGGTACAAGCAGGAGACAGAGTGGCAGAGGTAGGCGGGTTGTTTGTCACTGTGCAGTGTGTTCTCTTGCTGTTATTGTTAAATCAAATCACTCAGAGGTGGGGAATTTGAGATCCAGATCTAGGCTTGCCTTAACTTTTAAGATATTTCCCAAACTATATTATAAAGAAATGATAGTGGAATTAAATTGTTGTCATCCTTTTTATTATATTCTGTTGTTCAGATCTTTATGTTCAGGGTGCTTATCAAAATACTATTCACTTAAATGGCTGATTCGTAAAGGAAAATAATGGGCTTAGTAAACAGCCATGTAAGCACAAAAGCAGTTGTGCTTCTTTCAAGAAGCTTTCTTGTGACACTGTATGAGATTTACTGCGTGGGTTCATTGCAGTTGTGACAAAGAAATATAAACTAGATGAGCTTGTTTCTCTGAGGTAATTTTTGGTTGGGAGAGGACGGCTCAAAGTAACTCTGCTGATGTAGGCTTACAGTGCCAAGTGCTGAGGAATCAATGTGTCTCTCAGGTTACTCCACCTTAAGCCTCATCTTTCCTAGCAGAAGCCACTCTCTTGAGCCTCAGAGGTTCCTTAGAGCAGTAGTAATTGTGTGCATTTTTGTGGAATATATTTTTGATCCATATGTATATCACATATATGTGTTATATAGGTTTGGTTTCCACTTTTTTAAAATTTATTTTTAATCTTTGCTGAAAAAGTGGGAGGAGAGCCTCTACAAAATTACTTTGAGGAGTAACTGGTCCATTTTTTATTTATTTTTTTTCAGCTCTTGTTCTCTTAAATTTTAATTTATACTTGCTTAAATTAGTGATTATTACTCCAGCATACTCCTTGTTTAATGAAGATAGAGCAGGTGATATTATATGTCTGTTAAATTGCCAGGAATAAGGATACAACCTACATCAGTCAAAGACAAATTAAGAATAAATTAATCTACTTATTTTGTAAAACTATGCTATAGAGGATCATGTTTCACAACCCAGGTATGAAAGTTAGTTTAATATTTTTTGAAAGGTTAATTGTCGTTCAAATTCTGTATAATTTTACCTTTTATCTTTTATGAAAGGATTATCCCTACCTATTTTTTTTTTTTTAAATTATTTTAACAGATGTGACAGAATTTAAATGATTATTTACATATTTTGCATTATGAGATTATCAGGGGAAAAAAAAATCAGGATTTTTAGTGTCTGTACCTTTAACTTCTGAGCAGAGTTTCTGGTAAAGTCAGTATCTTAAAAATCAACCACTTCGCTCACATTTCTTCAGGAGGCTTCAGTTCATTTTCATTTTTGAGGCTATTTGAAATATACTTGCTACTAGTGTCTGTTCATTTAATGAATACTGAAACATGTAAAGAAGAGATGAAAATTCTGTTTGTACTGTGCTGTCCTGCTGTTGTTATCCTACAAATAGTTATGATTTCTGTCTCCCACAAGATGGCAGAATTATTCATCTATTTAAACAATGTAGAAAAAAAATCTCTGCTTTTTGTGTGTGGGGGAGATGAGAAGGAATTAATGCATCAGGTATGCTATTGGAGTCCTAATGTTTTGACCACAGGACTAAACTGTGTACAAATAACCAACATTTTTCTCTTGATACTGTGTTACAACTTTTTATTCTTGAACTGACCATTTCAACATTGAAATATATAGTTGCTTTCATTGTGCAACTATACATAACAATAGGGTCAGGCATTTGTATACCAACCTGGGAAAGAGGGAATTTTTTTCTCTTAAACAGTATTCAGAATAAAAATACTCATTTTTGCTGCTTTCTCTTTAAAGGCATCCTTCGCTTCAGAAACTGATGCCCTTGATGCTGATCCTACTGAACCTTCATCCAAGGGCAGCTCCTTCCCGACAGTAAACCACATCATAACAGTAAGTGAGATGACCCCACTGAGTAAGAAAGTGTTTTGTGTTGTTGTCTGTCATTAATGCTAGTAAAGCCTGACACAAAACTTGCGAATAGCTGTGTAAGAGGAGAACCTCAGTGACCTCACCAAGTTTACTGGGCTGTAACTGTGGCTTCTGGAGGAGTTCAGCTCCTGGATAAAGCACCAGCATAGCAGACTGGAGCTTTTTAAGCACTCTTGTTTGGGGGCTTTAAGGGTGATGATTGTTCCCTTCAGCTTAAGTCTTTATTTAGTTGTCTGGACCCCCCTCCCTCTAGCTAATGGAAGGAGCAGCATCTCCAGGATGCCTCTTGTAGGAGGGAGGAGTTGAGCTGCTACGTGGAAGTGACCATTTTTATCTTTTAACTTAAGGGGCAACTTGTGTGACAGGCTAAGACCCCATGCCCATATTTTAGGTGACTGATGTCAGACAAGATTAAGCCTGTCACACATGTCACAGAAGGAAATGGCTGAGCCTGCAGAGTGGCATTTGGAAATCTGAACCAGTTTTCTAAAAAAATCAACCACCTGAAAACCACCCCAGTCAAGGTCATGTTCCTGCATACCTGAATTTACTAGGAGGACAGAATAAAATCAAGGTATTTGAATGATTGAGGTCAAAAAGCATCCTATTCGTATTAAGCCTGAAGTACTAGGAAGCAACAACTGTATCTCCCACAGCAAATGCTAGAGGAATACTTTTTTGATTCCTCTTCTTCCAGCCTTTTTTAGCCTTTTCCAGGAATACCATTCACAACCCAGCTAATGGCAGATAATAAAATTAATCTATTATATAGAAGACCACACTCAGGTTTTATTAACCTTTCACATTTTTTTTTAAAAAGTGATTTGTTAGTTGACTGAAAAATAAGCAGATAGACCATTCAAATTTGGTTTCCCATGTGGATTACTATTTAAGAAGGACTGACCTGCAGCTTTTGTCTATGGGATGGACTAACAAACATTTTTCTGTTCTGTTCAGTTGCTTAAAGGATCTTATTTTGAGGGCTCCGGTCTCCAACATCATCTTGTGAAACATTTAGACCAGTTTATTTTCCAGCTGAAAACACATTCATCTTGTTTTATTTTGTTTTGTTTTGCCTGGCTGTATTTGGTAGCTGTTTCTTATGGTCTTAGCCCACATTGCAGGAAGCATGAGGCTTCCTGTTAAAGGAACCACTGTTGAAATGGTTGAGTAACACATTGCTAGTGGCCCAGATCTGTTGCAGTAGTGTCTTTCAGTGGTTTCAGCCAAAAGTAGGAAGTAGCCACTTTTTATGTTGTATGCCTCTTGGAAAATAGTGGCTCCCTTTAAAGTTCTTCAGCTAAGAAGGGAGAAGGTGGCAGATTAGACCAAGATACTTGCCTTATTGCACAGTGCACAGACAGAGTCAACTGACTGAATATGTTCCAGGTGTCAAAAGCAGACAATCTGCAAGTTCTTTCATGAAGAAATATTTGTATTTCTGGTTTAGTTTCTTTTTTTTTTTTTTAATAAAAATCTTTGTGCTGGAGTAAATTTTGTATGTTATTATCTTTAACCTAGAGCAGCATTCATCATTTTTAGTGATTATGGGCTTCTGAGGAGTACCCTGCTGACTCTGGAACTGGTCAGTATCTAATCTGCTCTTGCTCTGAGTTTTCTGTAGTGAAGCTCCCTTTATTCCTCAATAACTGTCTTATCTGAAAAATGTTTACAGCCCGGCTCCTTATGGAAAGCATGCTTTACATGTTCAGATAAGTAGATGATAGTAGAAACTTAATGCAGAATCTTCTTTGCTAGGAATCCAGGAAGGTTTGTTTTCTTTGTATTTCTGTCAAGGTTTCAAGAGAAATGGATACCTCTGCAGTAAATGAGAGAAAGAGGCAAAGAAACTAAAGGCTCCTATTCTTCCTGCAAAAGCTGAATAAGTGCTTAGTTGTGCCCATCTTTCTTCCTCCTCTCTTCTGTGTCATCACTGGTTCCTGCCATCCAGCAGAGATGGTGTCTTCATCTGTTTTTTCTAATTGAAATTTAATAAATATCCTCCTTGCATATTCTATTTGTGATAATATTTGTCTCTTCCTAGCCTTAGCCCTCTTGCCAGCTCTTGCCAGCTCTTGCCATCATCTATCCTGTCTCTGAGCCTTCTGACATTACAAAGGGTGATGCTGCTGCCAGATTGAGGTTTCTTCTCTGTTCTCCATGGGCCTGGTTGCTCTAACTTCTTCTGAAGGCTCATTTGAATTGTTAACTCATTGATCCGAACTCAATTTAAACCCCTTTGTACCAGCTTTAAGATTTCATGACAGTGTGAATGACTGATAATTAATTGGACAAACTATGCAAAGTTCATTCAGTCTGAGTCATTGTTTTGCAAAGGAAAAATGAAAATTGCCCTTTGATTTTAGTTATTGTAGAGTATTTTCTTGAAATTTACAGGCCTCAGAACTTTAATTACATTTAGAGTTACTTTTTTTGCATACCATATTTTGTAGCCTTGTCTCAGTTTATTTGGATCACACCTCAAAAATATAGAATCTGTTTATTTTACTTTGTTTAATATATATTTCAAAATAAAAATATTTTAATTGAACTTAAAGCAAGTCTTTGGATTTTTAAAATGGTAATCTTAAAATAAGAGTATCTATGTAAAGATGTGCATCAAAAGATAACAAATTAGAACCACAACTGATATTGCTCTCTATGTGACTGTGTGTAAAATATTGCATGTCTAACTACAGGAAAAAATAAATAAATCAGGATTACAAACATTGCCAACAGTCCCCCAGGGTGACTTTAACAGAAGGAACTCTGACTTGGATTCTGGAGTCTTTATTTCCAGGTCTGTATTTTTCTGTCTTCTGCACTCTGCTTCTTGTTTCCTACTTATCCTTTCAAACATAGAACCAACTCTGCACAATCTTATTTAAGCTGTGACTGAAATTCCCAGTGGATTTTGTCTGACTGAATGGAGAGTGTTGACAGATTTCAGCATCTCCTGTCACTTCATGACACGCATCATCATCTTGGATCCATTTCTTGGGCTATCAATATCATAAGCATATTAGATACCTTAGATATTAGATATCAAATCTCTTAAACATTTTAATGTTGTATTTCACTTTACTTTTTAACCTATTATTTCCTTTAATTGTATGCCTTTGCCCTGGGAATTCCCTCAATTAGATTTTTCTCATGTGTTTCACCAGGTGAACAAGTGTCACGTTTGTTTTGTCTGCAGTGTATTTGAAGAAGCCCTTTCTGTTGTCCTTGACCTCTCTTGCAAACTTTAATTCCAAGGAGGCCTTAACTTTCCTAGTTTCCTCCCTACATCCTCTGACAACAGACTTATGGTCCTCTCTTTCATGATCTGTAAACTCTCTTCTTCCACTTGAGTTTGCCCAGCAGTTCCCTCTTTAACCATGTGGGTCTCCTGGCTCCCCTTCTTGATTTCCTACCTGTTGGGATGCTCTGATCTTGAGCTTAGAAGAAGTGGTCTTTGAATGTTAACCAACTATTTTGGGCCCCTTTATTTTCTAGTACCCTCTCCCATGGCATTTCCCCTAGCAGTTGCTTGAAAAGGCCACAGTTGGTCCTGCTGATGTCCAGGGTCATGATCCTGCTTGGTGTTCTGCCCCTATTGCGCAAGATCCTGAACTCCACCATTTAATGGTCACTGCAGCCAAGGCTGCCTTCAACCTGCACCGCTTCAAGCAGACCCTCCTTGTTGGTGAGCATGAGATCCAGCAGCGCTCCTCTCCTAGTTGGCTTATCTACCATTTGCATCAAGAAGTTATCATCAATGCACTGGAGGACCTCATGGCCTGTGAATGGCTGGCTGTGTAGGCCTTCTAGCAAATATCTGGGTAGTTAAAATCCCTCATGAGGACTAAGGCCTGTAATTGCGAGGCTGCTTCCAGCTGCCTGTAGAAAGCCTCATCAACTCCTTCGTCCTCATCAGGAGGTCTGTAATAGACGCCCACAGCTGTGTCATCCATGCCAGCCTGCCCCTTAATTTGTACCCACAGACTTTCCACTTGCTCCTCATTGGCCCCTGGACAGAGCTCAGTACATTCTAGCTGCTCTCTCATGTAAAGAGCAACTCTACCACCTCACCTTGTTTACCTGTCTTTCCTAAAAAGGACATAGCCATCCATGACCACATTCCAGTCATGTGAGCTGTCCCACCATGTCTCTGTAATTCCCACCAGATCATAACCCTTAGACCACACACAGACGTCTAACTCCTCCTATTTACTCCCCATGCTGTGTGCATTGGTGTACAGGCATTTCAGGGAGCCAACTGAGCACACTGATTCCACCCTAGAGGAATTTCAGCACATCTATCTTCTTCACTTCTAGCTGCTGCGCATTTCTCAGGAAAAAGTCTTGATGCACTTAAACCAGTTAGAAATCTTAAGTGTCAAGCCCTTTTTTTATTCATCTGAGAATGTTAAGTCAAGCTATATCAGAAAATTGCAATCATACAATTTGAAACATAATAACATTTCTTTTTTGTTTGTTTTTTTTACTCATTGTTGTACTTTTTGCAATTTTAAAAGCAAAACTGGTAGAATACCAAGGTCAGAGAAGCACTATAAAAGAAGACAACTAAAATGGAATTCAGAATGTCCTTTTCATCATCAAAGACAGGTTTCTTTTGAAGCTTGTTTCAAACAATAACGGCCTTGCTCACAGACAGTGTTGGATTGGCCTGTTCCCATAACACCATATGACCTAATATTTCTGTCTTCAAGTTTTTTATGAAGAAGTGCTTTATCTCCTTTTCAAAACATTTTAATGTCTCTTGATCTTGTCAGGTAAAGGTGTTGGTATTTTTATATTCTTATTTTTTATTCTGACAAGGTAAGTTAGTTTTAGAAGTCAGGAGTCTGACTTCTCCCTGCCTTGCATCTTGTGCAGGTTTTTACAGGCTTGCAAAGAAGCCCATGACCAGTCTTGTTGGCTTAACTAACCTAGAGGGACCACGTGAGCTTCAGCAG